CCTATGACACACCGACACGTATCACTGAATCATAATCCTAATGTCACAAACCAACGACGAGGCACCTTTAGACAAAGTGCCCAGGTCACCGATGCATTATTGTACGATATTGTGAAATGCTCGCTCCGTTTCAGAATACAGTTATGGGTATTGTATCCCCCTCGTCCTATGCCGCATTTGTGCCTCTAAAATGAGGAATTGATTTGTCAGACTCGCACAAAATAACGTGAGGTAATGCAGTTTTGCCCTCAGGGTAATTTAATCGTCATGGAATGTATCTTTTCTTTTGGACCCGAATCTAGGTTAGTTATTACCTCATTAAAACGCTTCTGTTTTTATATTTTCTTACATTCAAAACTTTGCTATTCACCGTTGTCAATTAATTCTGCACAGGGTTAGTGGTAACATGGAACGTTTTACTTTTGAGACAAGTCAGCTCAGCGCCTCCTGCATCATCATTCAGGAATTTTTACACGCATTTAAACGTGACAGTTTTACACGTATTACGTAACATTTGCGGAGTCATGAACCGACTGTCCTTGTTTACTCTTGCCCTTTGTGCAGCAGCCGTTTTTACCGGATGTTAATCATCTGAATATTTAACAACCTCTTCCAGAAAACCAGTACATTTAGTTAGTCTCATTGCAGCCCGTGACCTCTGTTCCTTCATGCCGCAAAGAAAAGAGCATGCTCCAAAGGTTAACGTTACCATTCTGTATAGTACTGTTGGCATCGATGTTACCCTGCAATCGTTTGCTCAAGGTGCTGATGTTGCAAGGACATTCATAAGACGGAGCTCTAGAGGAGCCTCTCGATTGGATTTGGCCTATTCTTCCACGCTAGCCACACGTTACTTCACCACACACGACTCACTGCGGTGTCCTGGAGTGGGCGGGCTGGAGGAGGTGAAATTTAAGTAACGTGGCTATTTCAAGTCCCTCGCCACGAGATCGAACTGGTGACCTCTGTATTGCAGTTCCGGCGTGCTAACCATAACACCACGGCAATACCCCTACGAATAAATAACTCTGTAAAGTACTATGCATTATGTTCAATAGTTTACGTACTATGTATGGTGAATGTCTTTCGCATTGTACGTAGCCACTCGTGCTAATTGGTGGAGTGATTGTTTCCACAATTAGCTGCAGACACTGGAGGGTAGTAATGCACCTTTACGTGAAACGGCCAGAGACATTGGTGGGTGCATGTTGTGTACTGTTCTAGCAAAGCACCTTGCATTAGTCATTGGAGGAAGCAATGACAAGGATTTTGAATGAGATGGTCAAACATAAAGTTACAACAACAAAATAGCGAAACAGCTGATCACGCTTGTGTTCAAATCATTAGAATGCATGTGTTTAAAAATGGTAAGTAAACAAAATGACGCTGATGAAAATTTTAACAGTACATGTTTTATTATGCTTTATAGCAACGGCGGTAAATACAATACACCTAAATATTGTGCAATAGGACATTCCGTCCTAAAGTCTGTTTACTTAGTGGTTGGCAGCAAGGTTCTGGAAAGAGTGCTAAACTTAACTTTTTTTTCCACGGGCTCCAATGTAAAGTGGCACTCGATTTAAACGTCGAAAAGTACTTTCTTCACTTAAAAAACCCAAAAGGGCTCTTTCGAAGTTACACATTCACGGATGTTCCCCCGCCTGTTCAAGTTTCCTCCGATCTTGACCCTGCCTGCCAAGTGGTGCGCACAGCGTCTCTTCAGGGCACGCACATCACTGAGGAGTTGTGTTGTCTTTGTTTGAGGGCAACAGCATCGCTCTTGGTGACTCGGCTATTGGCCCCCGTTGTGACTCCTTGTCTCTATTTCAAGCACCGTCTGTTATTTGACCTCGACTGAGGAGGCAAACGGGATTAAGATAATTTGTAATCAATTTTTGGGTTAGATCACGTCGTAATGATGTGACCAAGTAAGTCGTAAAAGACCCTGTACCACCTGACATCCAAACAAATCTCCGCAGGTTTAATGTGCCAATTTAAGAACGTGTAAAACCCTTGTCAAAAAAAGGGCTGTACATGTGCAATAACTACACCACTATATTAATGTAACCAGAGTGCGACGGTGTAGCACGGGCTGATTTAAAGTAATATTCTCTTGTTAAGGAAGTTCCAAAATTGTCTACAAGATATGAACTATCACGAAGGGGCTGCTTATGGTATAAGTAGAGTACAGGGGAAGCAAGAGAAAGGTGGAGAGATATACAGGGCTGTATAAAAGGTTAAACATTAGCTGGCTGGCTGGCTGGGAGCTTTATGTCCTGGGAGTGTTGTGGGTTGCTAATCTTTCTTTTTTTTAAAGGCTCAAGGTTATTGAATGTTCTTGTTGCGAGTGCAAACATAAATTTTGTTAATGCTTTACACGTACCCTATAGTCCATAAGTGGATAGACTAAGCATGATGCAAACCAGGATGTATTTTGCTTTAAATATCCTAATAGTGGTCACTTGGATTTACAATATTTTTAAATCCAAAGAAAACAATGTAAAATACGCTCGGTACACATTTATTATGTTCTCTGAAAATTAGTTTTTCTTCAGTGAGCTTAAAACAAACAGTTGCACCCAAATGCATTCTAAGAAGTAGAGTTTACTTCAGGGATATTTTATAACGTAACGATTTTCAGTGCGTAAAATAGCGATATCATATATATTAGTATTATCATTTGGGAGACGGGGTGATTCCATGGTAACATTTGTGCCCTCACTGCAAGAAGAACCTGAGTTTGATTCCCAACTCGGGTGCCCCTCTGTGGATTTTGCATATTTTTCTCCCTTTTCTGAATGGGGTTTCTCCGGGTTCTCCGATTTCTTTCCAAAGAAACAAACATACAACATAATTGATATTGCCCAGTAATTATTCATACATTTCCACGAGATGTTAAACGATGCAATGGATGTGTAGTGACATAGACGTGGTCACTACGTAGCATAGCGCTGGTTGCTGGCAGGGAAGGGGATCTGCAGCTTGAAGCAGCCCTGACTGACTGCAGGCCACGTGACAGACCCGAGAGGGATCTAGCGGAAAGGTTACGGAAGGGACACGTCGAGAGCCCGCTAGTAAGTTCCAGAAGGGGGGCATGGACGAGGGCGAGCGAAGCCACGCTAACAGGATAAAAGGGGACCCCGAGCGGGAGATCGGGGCCGTCGTTTGGAGTGGGATCCCCTCGTCGTCGTCGCCTTCGCCGCTGTCGACTCGTGCCTTCGTCGCTTTTGTCGTCACTTGATAATTGCGCTGCTAGCAGTGGTTGGCTGTCTCGGTTCAGCGCCGTCAGTGTCAGACGGATAGCGTTGTGTTGTAGGCTAGCAACCAGAGTAGAGTTGCGTTTAAGCGAGTGACAGAGCGTTGTGTAACAGCAGAGAGTGTGTAACAGTTATTATGTTATATTTGTATTATTTTATTATTTCCCTTCTACGTGACTTTACCGAAAGAACCAAGAAGGGTTTGCTCGGTGTTAAATTCAAGAATTGCCTCCAATAAGTTACATCTCCAAGTCAGTCACTACATATGTATTTATTATTATTATTGATTATTAAGCTCATTATACATCCACCACATCGCATGTGATTTTTTTGTGTTGTGCAAAATGTGTTCATGGTACCCCTTGCAGCCACCAACGGCTACTACAATTGCCACAGTGTTGTAAAAGAACAAACTTGCGAATCAAATCATGATCCCGTAGTGGGGGATAATCATTAGACCTCTATTTTACATGCTTTTTACATTTTATTGTCTGCTTATTTAAAAATGTAGCTCGCAAATGGTAATAACCACCGAAATAAATCACCAACACTTCATCATTTTTGTTGTTGCCAAATAATTGCACACTTAACAAAAAACACTGAACACATTCTTCAACAATACTGGCCTTAAAATAATAATAAAATATATAATGGGTTTTGAGCAAAGGCCCTTCTACATAGGCCAGAGAGATATAATGAATAAAGGTTATAGACTGCACTTAACATCATGGGGCCTGATAAGGATTAAATGTTAAAATGCTTTATTCACGAACAGATTTTTTAATTGGCATATGAATAGTTATCTGATAGTAGCTATTGAGTAACAGAGTAATCCAACAAGGGACAGTCTACCCAGCCTGATTACCATTTCAGTATTAGGAGTTTCACTGTCCTCCATTCCCGAGGCAGAGAAGTCCTGAGAAATTCAATGGGAAGTACACATGAACATGAAATTAAACAGCGAGAGAGAAGAACCATCGGCTCATTTGTGATCACGTGACGCTCGGCAGACAAAGCGTATACGTACTACTTGTATTGCAAGACCTCGCTCGTTTATCAAGTTAAGATTGATTAAAACAATTTTGCTCGTCTTGCAAAACACTCGCAGACCAAGTTACTCGCAATCTAAGGTTTTACTGTACTTTGTAAGTGAAGCATTCATTCAATCCTGCCAGTAGAAGAGTATTCAGTTTAAATAGGAGGCAGCCTTCTTTGACCTTTGGTTTCTTTCCCACAAAAGATCACAACAAGGCCAAAGACCGACACGTCACTCGGGCTGTGGTCGCCGCTGTTGAAATGACGAGCCACTGGTGTGGACATCACCAGATGAGATGTTGAACAAATTTATTACCCAGCCGTTGACCAGTTTCTCCAAAGGATTGGAGGTGGCGGCGTTTGAACATTATGCAATCAGCCAAATTGGTGCAGGTGCATCTAATACCGATGGTGCATCACAAATTATGCTCTGGGTGTTGTTGTTATCCACATATCAGTTGATATGAAGATATACTTAAAGTTTATTGAGTTAAACTTTTAGTTTTATACTAAGCTGCATTTAGCTCATGAGTTATACATCAGGGTTTTCCACATATCACCCATATATGCAGTATTTGTGCATGCACCTTATACCAAAGACGCAGCTGATGATTTTATGATGACGTGCCAGACCCGGACTAAGGCATTGAGACCACCGCAGCAATAGAGAGAGATCTTGCGTTTGTGTGCCCCTGCTTGTGCTTCCAGGTTGCCGCGATGATAATCCCGAGGACCAGGGCGTCCTTCTTCAGCCTTGTGTGTGGCGCCAGCGTGGGCTTTGCGCTGAGCTACCTTCTGCTGGCGGTGTACACGCTGGACCGCACGGAGGAGCGTGAGCGCACGCCCGTGGTTATGCTGCCGAACAACCCTCACGACCCGCATCCGGAGGGTCGCGCCAGCAACGAAGATGGCAACGCGCCACAGGGGCAGATGAAATTCCACGTCCATGACGGCGATCATAAAGGTGCGTCAGGCGCCTCCGCCCTCCGTACACGTTGAAGCTGCCACGGAGGCGGCACGACCTCAGGTCTTGGCCCAAGTTACCGGTAGCTGATTCTTTTCCACCATAACATCTGAACTAAGCCAGCACCGGACCCTCACGGTACAGGCAAATTAATGCTGTAATTTTTTTCTGTGATGAACAGAGGGAAAAGAGATGGTAGGAGGGTGGCTGGGGGTGGCCTTGTGGTCAGAGTGGATGGTGTCTGGGACAGATTGTGAGTTTTCCATTTGATCATTTACATTTGTCAGATGACCAAATCGCCCAGAAAGTCATCGAATCTCAGGAGCTAAGCCAGACTGTGCCCGAATAGTGCTTGGATGGGTGACTACCACGCATCGACAGGTTGTCATTTGGCAGCAGAAGGTAGCGCAGCAAAATCCATTGTTGTACACTGGTACCTCGGTATATGTCGTTAATTCGTTCCAGAAGGTAGGACTTGTACCGAAAATGACGTAGATACCAAACGAATTTTTCCCATAAGAAATAAAGGGAAAGGAAATAATCCGTTCCAGAGTATAAGAAATTATATTTTATATGGCATATTATACATTAATGGGGTTGTATAAAATAATTTAGACACTACTTATTACCAAAATGCATACATAAATTAAAATAAATGCATAAATAAATTAAAATAAATATAAATAAAAATAAAATTTGACATCACTATACCTTGCTGAGAGGAGTTGATAGCCTACGAGGATGGTGGTGAGGAAGGGGAGGAGTTGTGAACGGGGTCTACGCGGGTACGCGGTGACTCATCCCGACCCATACAAGTTCTAGCAAGCGCATCGTTTTCCAACCAAGACGTCGTATCCCAAGACATTTTTTTCTCGTCAAAACACGACGTATACCAGATTCGACATATTCCAAAGCGGTCGTATACCGAGGTATGACTGTACTCTGCTTATGTGCTCCCACTTCTTTGCTCCCCAGCATGGTGAAGTATGGTCAAATAACCTCGACTATTCACACGTTGTGGGGAGGCCCTCAGCAGTGAGCTGTACATTATATATACGGAGTGGTATCTCCTGTAATCTCTCATTTACTTGATACAGCTGTCGGGCTGTGACGGTTCCACCTGAAGACGGAAGCTTGTGTTGCTTCCGAAACGTCGTGATTTTTATTTTATTTTACTTTTATTAATTTTTATGTTTTACCTACGTGACTTTACCGAAAAAACCTAAGAATATGTACATGAATCCTTCGTAAATCAGCAACCCAGACAACAACATTACAGCTAAATATGGACTATCTGATGATGCAAGTATTGTAATAATGCATGGATTGTTCAAGCGTTCAACTAATTTCGTAACAGAAATAGTTGAGAAAAAGATGATCGCTAACCTTTGTTCTCATGTATGCAGCTTGAACGGAGGTGATGAGAGGGGCTTGCTCACATCATTGGCATCATTAGCCACATAACGCTTGGCATTGCTTGCAGAGGGCTTCTCGCCTCTGTAAGGCAAAGTGTGGGGACCCGCATACCGGACTACAAAGGGAGTAGTCGTCACGTTGTTCTTGGTCAATCATGTATGTGTACATTTTGCAATTATTTCGTACCTTACGTAGCCAACCGTGCTTATCGAGGTGCGAAATTAATCAGTCTCGACCGATTGTATACGACGAAATTCCGCCGCGTAACTTCCACCACCGCCGCTGCTGTGCGCGCGCCGCCCTGCAGAGGAGGACATGAGCCAGATGCAGGAGCTGCGCCGGCGTGTGCGCGTCCTCTGCTGGGTGATGACGGGCCCCCAGAACCTGGAGAAGAAGGCACGCCACCTGCGTGCCACCTGGACCAGGGCCTGCGACAAAGTGCTCTTCATGAGCTCCGAGGAGGACAAGGATCTCCCCGCCGTGGGGCTGCACACCAAGGAGGGGCGAGACCAGCTCTACTGGAAGACGATCAGGGCCTTCCAGTACGTGCACGAACACCACCTCGGCGACGCCGACTGGTTCTTGAAAGCGGACGACGACACCTACGTCATCGTCGACAACCTGAGGTGAGGGCGGCAGTGGCGGCGCTTCCCGTTTGGTTGCCGCCAATTCTCGTGGGAGCGCTGCGACGTGGTGGTGTGGGTGTCGACGAATTCCGTCTTGGTGCAAGAAAGCCAACACGCTCGTCAGCAACGTGGTGGGCCTAAAAGGAAAATAATATGTAGTTTGTGACTTTTTTGGGCAGTGTCCCTTCTTTATTAGCAGAGATAAAAAGTGTCATGACATTAAACATCACCTATCTCGCCGTTACGAAATGGGGCTTTCGTCCTAAACGTCATCTGTATCTACATGTATATTTTTTATTTAGGGAAGTATTATTGACGAATGTATGATGTTGTGTGGACTGAAATTTATATGTAGGTTTTCACGACCAATATTATTCATAATTGGTATGTTTTGGGTTAAGTTTTGGAAAAATGTGTGCCGTGAAACCCTCCTCCATGCTCAATCTGAGCTCCTGTTAACCTGACGATGCTGGATGTGATCTCCAGCAGAACGTCGTACCCATATCTATGTCGTGAGATTACTCTACAAAACACACTGGTGGTGCTGCTGAAACAGTAATACATTTGGCATGTTTTATTTACGTGAGACTGTCATTAATTGGCTGTGTCGGGTGGAGGAGGGTTGACAACACAATTTTTAACACGAACGAACCCAAAAAAAAAGAATTATGAACTTAAGTAATATTCACACTGTGGAAGTACATCAAAGCATAAAAACAATCTAACACAAATGTGAAAGTTACAGGAAACTGAAATCATGATAATTGCCATAACGTGCAGTGTGGTATGATATGTCATCGTATTGTGAAAAATGATATTGCGGCAACCATTTATCTGACCATTTGTTCTTCTGTGCTGCACGCGGCTGGCCTGTGAAAGATGTGTACTTTCGACCGGCTGCGGTCAGAATGATCCGCTTAAAGGATTTATCGGAGCCCGAAGCTGAACATGGCATTCAACAACTCTTTCCAAGTTTGTTGACTTACTGAAAAAAAGTTGCTCATATTGAAAAAAAAGTACAACCCTTTGTAAATCCTCTGCTTTCAACAAGGGGTTGTTTGACCATACTTCACCACGCTGGTGAGTGCGGCTTGATGAAGAGGTGGAGGCCTAGGACAGGTTCAGATCTGGTCCGCTGCTAACGCGGCCGGCAATCGAAGTTGGGTAGCATCATGGTGAAGCGCGCTCTCCACTGCTACCTCTCCAGTCCAATTCCTGTAAACTAATTTAAACAGTCGGTGGTTATTTACATACGCATTTCTTCTGAACGCCCGCTTGCCTGCGTGCATGCACCCATCCCATCAAACCCACCAGACTGATGCTGAGCAACTACACGCCCGAGCAACCCATCTACTTTGGGCGCCGCTTCAAGCCCTTCGTGAAGCAGGGCTACATGAGCGGCGGCGCGGGCTACGTGCTCAGCAAGGAGGCGCTCGTCCGCTTCGTAGACGCCTTCGCCAAGGGCACGTGCACGCACACGAGCTCGGTGGAGGACCTGGCGATCGGCTCGTGCCTCGAGAAGATTGGGGTGGTGGCGGGCGACTCGCGCGACTCTGCCGCGCGCGACACCTTCCACCCGTTTGTGCCGGAGCACCACCTCATCGCCAACTACCTGCCCAAGTCATTCTGGTACTGGAAATACTGCTTCTACCCAGCAGTGGAGGTGAGCGCTGATTAAGCTGTTGTCCTTCATCCCCCCACCCGCCCCGCACATCCCGATTAGCGCGGTTGGCTACATATAGCGTGAAATAACTTCAACACACGGCTGTGCAAGGGGACCTACCCACGGGGGGTATGGATGGTGTTGTGGGTTTTTTTTCGCATCGCCACAGTTGCAGAGCGCAGGCCCAAAGGCCGATAAACCGCAAGCTGACAGCAACAAACAACACCCATTAATGGTGCAAGAAGCAGGCTTGTTTCCACCTTAGCTCACAGCTATTTTTAAAAAAACTGATGGTAGGGTACCAGAACTCAGATTATGTCCAGGATGTTGGGACGTGTGCTGCCTTGTCACAGCTGGATGAAGGGTCTCACAGTGCTGTGGGTTCTGGGCTATCTTACACGAGTCCGAACAAAGACTTGAATGACATAGATAATTTAACAGAACATACAAGGCGAAGAATACGAAAAAAGACAAAACGTATGATGTCGACTTTAATCCAGGTTGTGTCAGTTCATCTGGAGTTTTGCATTACACGCTTAGTAACATATGGTATCTGTTGAGCAAGCGGTGCACTCTAAAGATTAATCTTGATGAACTTTTCACATTCAAGCTGTTAAACCCCATGGTTTAACCCCACGTGTGCAAAGCCCTTTTATCAACAATAATCTTTTAATCCCGACCACGTTGTTTGAACTCGGCAGATGATCACTTGTAAAATGCCAACTCTATTTGAAGGTTACTTTGTGCCCACGGAGAGGATGGTCATAAGTTATTGTCAAAAGTTCCGCAATAAATTCAAATATCCGTGTACTTTGCACGCATTTCATCAAGGAATAAAAGCAAATCGGAGATGAAGTGACTGTTACGGTAAAAGTAAGAGAACTTAGAAAGGGCTCGTTGGTAAAAGGGATGATGGCTGATAGACATGACTAGAGACAGAATGGCAGCCAACCAACCACAGAGATAGATCATGTAGTATGCAGGAATGGGATGGGTTATGGCATAAAAATATTCCAAGAGATGGCTAAAGAGACCTTAATCCGGTCGTCGTTGGATAATGGATCATGGTCGCAATGAGGATGATGGTACTTCGTGCGTGCATCAATGTTATGATTTCTCTTTATTCTTTTCATTGTTAATTATAATCATTCAACATAATTAATTACGGTAAACCTGTAAATGAATGGCTCTCCACCAATGGGAGGTAGTCATATGGACCTTCCTTTTAATGGAGGTACACTTATGTGTGTTTTTAGCTGGCAAATTCTGGGCCAGTTTTGACTTTGGTCAAATCAGCAGTCAGACGTAAACATGCTGACGTGTGTCCAGATGTTATTGTCATGAGCCATCCACTTAAAGTTACGGGGACCCTTATAATAAGATGATTATTGTTGTTTTTTCTTCTTCTCCAACAGGGCCCACAATGCTGCTCCGACTTCACCATCTCATTCCACTACGTGAGCCCCACGTGGATGTACATCCTGGAGTACTTTGCTTACCACCTGCGGCCGTATGGCTACAGGTACCGCTTCCAGCCCGTGCTGTCCAACCTCGGGCACAGTAAGGACGTGGTGCTGGCAGAGCCGAAGGACGAGGGCAACTTGAGGCTGCCGGACGTGCAGAAGAAAGGTGATGCGCCCGCTGTCGATGACAATGCGATAGACGGAGGAGGAGGAGGAGGCCCTGGGGTGAAGGGCAATGATGAGAAGAAGCCAGCGGCAGTTGTCCCAGAGAAGTCGAGAGACACCTCGAAAAAGATTTCTAACGTTATCGAGGACATTGTGGAAGACAAAAAAGCGGCTGACGCGAATGAGCAAAAGAAAACGATATAGAACGTGGAGATGATCTGGCTTCTAGCAGAACAATATGAAGGATAATTGAAAAAGGACTGATCACAATAACAAAAAAACTACAAATTTAATGAGAGACTAATAGTATGGGTTGAGTGGTTTACATTATTATTTTTTTTGAAAATATTTTCATACAAAAATGTTCTACATTGTCTCTTGAGGTGGTTCGTCAAGTGAAGGTTGATGCTGTGGTTTGAATGTAATTAAATAGCGTCCAGTTAAAGGTGATCTTCTGAGCATGCACCTGTATCAGTTTTAACACTTCTTGACTACCAGTTCACGTAAATAATTTGTTGTTATATTATCATTGTCAGCTAAGCTCAACTTGTTCAAGTTATTGTAGCCATCATGAGAGTGCACCTCACTGCCTAACTGCGTGGTTATTGAGCGTTAACCAGTTCTGAAAAATGAATGACTCAAGTACAGCAGCTCAATAGTACAAATTTATATTCCTGGTTAAAATATTTTTCATCTGCACTCTTGTTTATTCTGCCAGTAATCGGTCATGTCAAAGACGGAAACAGGAAGACTTCTTGTCAATTTAGTTTTGTTTACGTGACAAACCTTTGTCATATTGGCTATGTCGGGTGGTGGCGGGTTTAACCACACATTTTACGTGATCTAACCCAAAAAACCTTTATTATGGATGATATTGGTCGCGAAAGCCTACATGTCAAACTGACATCTCCCTTTTGTGTGAAGAAATCTCCATTAAAGACAAAGAACTGATCCATAAATATTTAATGTAAGTACAGTATAATCATTTTTGTATGGCAGACAATTGAATGTGATTTAAATTCAATATTCAGGTTTGAACATTGTCCCAAAGCACACAGCACCACTCGATATGAACAAATGGCTAGTATATAACTCGGAATCTTCAGCCAGTTTTCAAACCATCCTCGACTCGTGAAATTAAGAGCATTACAGGCTGGTTGAGGCCGTTTTCCATTTACAATTTTTCGAGGTGTGTCATTTAATTTTTGTGAACAATTTTTTTACCAGGTAAATCCCACAGCTATTAGCTCTTTTTCAGAGGTGTGACCTGGCCACAACAAATACCTCCTCAAAGAGGCGCTGATATCATCATCACTCGTGGGAACTTCTAGGAGCAGCCGAATAATCTAAACACAACTTCATCTTAAATGTGAAGGGGAAAAACCGGAGGATCCGGAGAAGATCCATGTGACAACCACGGTGGCGGGGGGGGGGGTGGCATCGGGGTCACACCCACGATTTCCTGCATACCAGGCAAGGGGAGATATAATCTCGCCACCTCGGCGTGAATTTTAATGCGTAAATATTGGCAGCCGCTTATAATCCAAATGTGGTTTTCCAGGTTGGGATGTGATTTGAGGATTTCTTTTCTTCAACTCCTGATGTTGCCCGCAGGCATTGTAGGCGGCGAACGTTTGATAGAATCGTAAATGAACGTGCAGCCCAACCTGAAAAATCCCACTCGGATTGAGATTATATTAACCATGTAAGGTTGTGTAGTTCTGTTTACCTTGCCATCCAGTTTGATTGATTATATCAGTTCAGTCGGCTTGCAACAGCCATCCCAGCTGAAGTATGCAATGCGATTTGTGATTCATGAAATGTCTTTTTGTACAGTACAATTGAATTTCAAAAATGCAGGCCTGTATTCTGGCTTTTCATTGCAGCTTGTGTGAAATGTTATTACTCACTCCAATAGGCACTTGATGTCAGTAGTACTTGTGGGTTCTTCCACATTGTTCCTCTGTTGCCTGAATGTTAAATAAGTCGATACAAATAACCTTTTTCACAGGCTTATACATTACCTGTACATAGTGTATATTTCAGTTTGCAGACAATCAGTGTACAAGTACACCGTGTAGTGTCCCATCAATATTTTGAAGTGATGGTTTGCCGAATTCTCCTTGGTTGATTTTTTGAAGTGTGCATTTTAATCGGCGATTGCTCGTGGTACTTTGGCGGAAGTGTCTGGTGGACAACACCGATGTCCACTCTGTCATTCGCATTCTGTCCCAAATTCATTGTCAACCACGGAAAAGAGAATCTGTATACCGTATCGTGTGTAGCAAAGCAGAAGTCAACGACGTCAACAAACTTGCCGCGCCCCCCCCCTACCCCGCACCTTTTGTAGTATTGTGTCATCGGGGTGGTGTGCTGATCAAATTCTGCCCACCAACAAATAAGTGCCTGCTATAGAAGCACTTAGCGCCTAACAACACATCTGTGGGCTTTTCGACTCTTGGGTCCTTTGTGGGATATTTATAGCTTTTGAATAAGCGTCTCGCGTGGTTTGTACGTTTTTGTAGCATGCGTAGAACTTGAATACATGGAAATGCCTTTAGATCAGCCATTGGGATAAGGAGTCTGGTGCGCCCGTTTCATTTTTTTTGCAGGTCCCACAGTTTGAGCGATCCCTTTGGTTGTGCTGCACTCGTATATAACTGGGGCGTGCGTCACATCAAGTGTGCGCTGTGTGCCGTCACGTGGGTGGGAGAAATGTGGCGTTTTAATGTGTTCAGTCCCCACTGTGGAGGGGAATGTGTTAGTGTCTGTGCGCACCTGAGCGTGACCGACTGGCCTTGAATAGAAGCAACTTGATCTTCAAGTTTTATGGGTTGGTTGGCCTCGGTAGTACGAGTGTGTTTGAATATCACCCATGTGTAACGGTGCGTCCTTTTGGGACATGCTTTAGCCGGTCTCGGTCTATCGTCATAAACCTAGCTCGCAATCACTGTTTAAATTTCACGCGATGCCCCAAATGACCGTGCGCGGAACACAACCAAGATCACTGCCGGTATATTATTTCAGATGTATAGTGTTTACTTATAATTTTATCTCTACACAAATCTTACATTGTTAAAGGGCAACAGGCTTACTAGTCTGGGAGTGCACGCATCGCAGGGCGCTATACCCACCCAAATGACCCTCACAACAACCAACAGTCACACAACCCGAAAACCACGGCCTCACCGACTTCCTTCACCACGGACGCTGGTGGGAGAAAACTGCTGAGCAAAACTCCAAAAGGCACGTACGAAGCACCACCTGGCTCTGGAACAGACCAAACAAAAGCTACAAAAACCACCTCGAGCCGGATCAGTCCCAGCCACGTCAAGCCAGATCAGCACCCCCAGCCACCTCGAGCAGGATCAGCCCCGCCCCCCCCCAGCCACCTCGAGCAGGATCAGCCCCAAGCACAGCAGCCACGTCAAGCCAGATCAGCACCCCCAGCCACCTCGGATCTCAGTCTCCAGCACAGCACCTGCCTCGAAACAGGCTGGGGCGCAGAATGAAATCTACCCCCCCGCCTCTCTCTTGGTGCCCCGCGGCGGGGCCTTATATTGAGTCAAACCCTTGGGCCCTTCCCCCATTTGATGAGCACGAGTCCAAACTCCCGTGCCCACGAGCCAATCCAATCCCACACATCTGCAACCACTTTCACACGAAGCTCCCCCCCCCCCCCCCCGCGAGTCCCTCGCTTCTCCCCAATCAAAGAAACACCCTGCCCCCCCCCCAAAGCTATCACTGTGACTGCCACACCATGGATCAAAACTTGTAAACAAATGTGGGTGCATTATGGCATATTGTCGCGTAGCTTGATTTTCCACCCGACGTAGACCCGTACAATATTCGAAAGTGAATGCAAATGCAATGGTGAGCGGTCAGTTTTAGTTGACGGTGTTATGCGCAGTGTGCAAAATGAACGTATGGAAGTGTCCCTCCTCCCCCCTTGCCTATCTTGTTTTCCTGACAATTGCAGATTCGCTTCGTTAGCAGAGAAGTGCATTGTTACTGGTAGGAACCTCCTGGTTACACCAGCCCACAGGGGATTATTGTGTCCGTCCGTCGTGCAGGGAGGGGCTGGGTGGGGAGGGTGCGGAAGGTGTGGAGGGGCTGGGTGGGGAAGGGCTGGTCACCCCGTGGTGCCCTTATAAAACTCAACGTTTAACCTACTCACGCCGGCTTGTGCCCGCCCTCACAGTCGGCCATATTTGCGGAATACACCACGCCGCCGTTGACCCTGGCCATTGACTGAGCAACCCAACGTTCCTACCAGCTCCCTCTGCAGGAATGTGTTTTTCTAGTCCTGTGTCGCTCGGTTAATGAAGTCGCGTTCGCGTCGCCAGTTGGCGTGCCAGTGCCGGGGAGACGGTGGTAAGATGAGTCGATGCTTTTACAATTATTGTTTAAATGGGGCGCTTATTGTCCCCAAGTCTGCCTTAATTTACCAATGTACTCATATTGCACAGGACTGCAGGCACAGAATATACCAGAGAATAAGCATGTCGTGCTCATCATGAACATTGGTGTTTGTCCAGCCGTATGTTCTGTTTGTCTGAACTACCCTCGTTGGATTATCGTATTACATCGTAACAATGGTTTTCATCGGTTGCCTTTCCCTCTGTAAATAATTAAGAGTAAAGTGCAAAGCTAAGAACATTGCACTTGGAAAACACCTATGGGTGGAACAGTGATACATTCCTAGTTTATTGCAACATGCGTATAATCGCTCATGTAAAACATAATGGGTTTTTTTTACTTGTTCGCGTTATAATCCGTTTATGTCTGCTGCAAACACCTGAGGTGTCGTCATTCATTAAAATGATTAAGCAAGTAATTAGTTAATGGTGTTGTGATCCTGAATCTCAACAAATGTATTTGCGGTGGGTGAGAGGGGGGAGTGAATTACATCCCTAGTAATAAATGACAGCTTGCATTGGCAACAAAATGAAGTCGATAAAAACGAATCTTAATGTTCCGTTTATAACTCTAAATGGCATACATAATTCTAGATTTGAAGTTTTCGTGACTGCAAGGATTTATACTCTTTGGTTTTTTCGGTAAAGTCACGTAGGTAAAAAATTAAATAAATGAAAAGCGACTAAATTAAATCACGACGTTTCGGGCGCAACACAAGCGTCCTTCAGGTGGGGACAACGTAGCGAAAACACAACCACTTAAGTGTGTCACTGTGTGTCACTTAAGCGTGTCACTTAAGCATGTCACTTAAGCGGGGTGCTTTCGCTGCGTTGTCCCCACCTGAAGAAGGACGCTTGTGTTGCGCCCGAAACGTCGTGATTTAATTTAGTTGTTTTTCATTTATTAAATTTTTTACCTACGTGATTTTACGTGAAAAATCCAAAGAGTATGGCATACATAATATGTAAATTAGCAGGGTTGGTTATGTACGGTGTGAAAGAAGTTCAACATACATGTGTGAATTAATACAATTCAATTTAATCTGTCTTCATACAGATGTTCAGATATTTATTCTTGGAAAGGTATCTATGAGAACTCGAGGTGTCCTCCAGCAACTTTGACATGTGGCTGGGTTTTCGTTTTTGTGAAACGTTTGGCAAATACAAGGTCTGCTTTTTTTAGTTAAGCAAGAAATGCCACCCATTGTTTAGTATTTTAATTTCAAATCAATACCTTCATTTGGTCTCATTTTTCACTATGCTCACAGTTTTACGTGTGTCCTGTTTTGTGATGGCACTGGTGCCAGCTGTTTTAGCATCATCTCCATTACCGTCTTGGTCCCCTTTTACCCCTTTTGTGATGGTGGATTTGCCATTGGTTTTTGGCGCACAGTTTCGCAGTCCCCCCACACTTTGTTCTCTTAGTTATTGCGAGATGAGTGTTCCGTTTTTGAAGGATATTTTTTAGTTATAAATCGTGCTCCTAAAACATTGCCTTTGTTGTAACATGTGCTTTTTTGGCTATTCGCAATAGTTCTCCCCGATGTGTGTTTATTATGCGCAGCATATATATATATATTTTAAATTCTGTACATATGACATGTGAGAGGCAGTCAAGCAGTTTTGAAGATGGGACATTAAATGTATTGGGCGCGTAACGATTCGATTATTTGTCCCGATTCTTGGTGGTGACTTGACTCAACGATCGATTCTTACACGCACGATTCAATACATCCGGAGTGTCTTCGGTCGATTTTTAACCTATGGATAATTGCACATCCAAAACTGTTATACAACTTTTTGCTCTTCAATAGACAGGACTACATGTACTGTTGGCACAACGTTTAACATCGCTCTGTGCCGATTATTATTTTCTGTGATAAGTACATAAATGCCAAGTGTACTTCTTTCTGATTCTCATTCCCAAAGGGGTTTTGGTGGCTCCATTGTACGCGTATGTTCATCTTTAGATGGCTGGCCAGGGATTGTGCTATGTACATATGTAATGTATGTATATCCCAGAGATTGATGGAAATTCAGTTGTGTGGAGCCACCTTGCCCCCTGGACTGCAAGCCGGCGTTCTTCATTGGTCACGTGTTCACACGTGTACTAAATGGCATGCCGTCCATTCTGCTGTTGCTTTCTGCACTGATTGAGCACAGGTTAATTAAAGAAAATAATGGACACAAACAGGAGCTTGTTTGTTCGGAGGTGAGTTTTTTGTGTGTGTGTCCTGGCGGAGCTTGGCGGACACGTGTAGTGTATCACTTCAAAGACACTAATAGTAGGAGGCATACACGTTTATTCAACAGTTTCCACAGTATAGGGGATAACTATATACGGTTCAGGACAGCCGGCACACTGCCTGACCAAACACCGACGAGGAGGACGAAGACTTCGTGGACAACGGGCTCCATTCCCAAACCGCAGCAGCCCCG